CCACAATAGATTAGAAAGTCCCTGAGGGCTGGTACCTTGTCTCTTTCAGTCACCATTTTATTCCCCAGGATACCTCACGGCACAGACAGCGAATGAGTAAGGAAAGGGAAGCTTGGCACTCTTATAGCTCAAGTTTTTAAGACAGTGACATGCCCCAGTAACCACAGCACGAAGTAAAATGTGATCAGTTACCAGAGACACAAAATACTGGGAAACCAGAGGAAGGAGAAAATACTCTGTAAATGGGCAGAAGGCTCCATGGGAGAAGTATCATGGAAACTTGACCCAGAAGAACGGGCAGGCTTGAACATGAAAGGGTGTGCAAAGTATCAGTTTGCATATTCTAGGTGACTTGATACTCAGCAGTCACAGGCTTCCAGTATGAGCTGCTTATATGAATTAACAATACAAGAGAAAATTTTCATAAAATAATTAGTCTTCTCCAAAGATGTTTCAATATGAAACATTTCCCCATCCTTAAATTTAGGGTGATACCAAGATGGCTCTTAGTTTAGCTCTGTCTTTTTTTTCAAAGAAATGAAATTTAAAATTTTGTCATGTAACAAAGCAAAGAAGGTCTGCAGGTTATCCCTGCACCATGATAACTTTCAAAGTACATCTGCCTTCTGGGAAACCTACCGTTGCTATGAGGCCAGGAGTGCACAGTGGCACTTCTCACCAGAGCTTCATCCACTTTGCCGCCTGTGGGATTGTCCACGTACTGCCGGCCCTGCTCCAAGGCATTAAAGCATTCCGTCCAGTAATCATTATTATCTGCCTGCACCCGGTCATAACTCCAGCTCACGCAGGGAAGAGTTTGGCGATTGTTAGAGGAAATGTAGTCCAGGAAACTCAGTGAAGCAAACGGTTGTGTATGTTGATTCTGCAGGAGGAGGAGAAGGCTTATTGGTGGCTCCTGGGATTTTCTGGCTCCTTCCATCTGAGGAAGGAAGGTGGTCTGACACATCATTAAGCGCCTCTCCGCAGCCTGACCAATGTCAGAATTCTTCCCAAAAATATCCAACTCATCTTCCAGGAAGAGTCCCGAATTGTAGCCAAGTTTGCGATTCATGATCGCACTAAACCCACAGGTACAGCGGTACTGGTCCTCGTTGGAAGAATCAGGGATGTAAAGCCCAACATCCGCCCCTTTGATGTTCATGTTGCAGGCGCAGATGCAACAGCTGTCAAAGTTTCTGTCTTTAAAGATATTCATCACAGAATCTGAGAGAATCAGGGTGACATAGAGACTGTGGGCTTCAGGAATTGGCTGCATGGTGGCAGGCTCCACAGAGTTAAGGGGCCGTGTGGTAGAGGGGGTGGAGGCTGGTGACCCCTGATCGGTGCTGTCATATTTAACAGACCCTTGACCACTGGCAGTGCCCCCACCTCTGGGAGTTCTTGGGGTCCTAGGGGTCCGTGGTGTGGGGACAGAGAAGCGAGGGGTTGCTGGAGATGGCAGAACTCCTGCTCCGCTGTTGCTGGCTGGGGCAGCGCTGTTCAGCGTCACCGGGGTGTTCATCTGTGGTGTGTTCAGATAGTCTGGATCAGCTAGGCTCCCGACACTAGGCACGTTACTGCAACAGACAGAAGGCACCAAGTGAGACCAGGCGGCAGGACACAGGTGCTGGCAAACACACAAAATCACCCCAACCTGACCTGTGCATTTCTTATTTATGCTTGCTGTCACTGGTATATTCAGTTTTCTCTTAAAAAAAAGATGAAAAGTGGTCAGTGCAGTGTGTGGAAAAGCAAGAAGCGAGCTATGAAGAGGAACTCACTACAGCAATGTCCCTCTGCTTATTCCACATTTAAGCAACTCTCAATCTTTTGAGGGAAGTTTTACTATTTTTACAAGAAAATATGACTCTGGGTTTGGACAATGTAAGTTTGAAAAACTATAACTACTAAACAGAACTTTAACACTTGCGTTCAGATGCCAAATTAGCTAGAAGACCATAGGATAAAATTTCGATCTGATTTGCAATTACATTTTTGTCATTTTTTGAAATTGAAAGTCTGCCAGTGTACTTGTTCTCTGAGGCTATAATCTATATAGGATTCTAAAATAGTTATACTCAAATGCACATGAAAATTTAACATTTTTCTAATTTTCAAAATGCAGTCCTATCTAGACTACTAGCATTTTTATAGCAATGAGTGACCATGAGGGAATTCTATTTTAGGAAACTCATTGGCCAGTACTATACCCACAATTAACACAAATATTACACATGCTGCTAAGAGGCCTTAGTATTAATTAGGCAGTTGCACAGAAGTACACCCTGCATCATAGTTGCCAGACTTCTAACAGATTTCTATAGGGTGGTAGGCAACTCTAGTTATTTTTTTGTTTGTTTTTCAACATGCTATAAATTATATAGCACAGTAATTTTTAGATTGATCACACTGTGCTGTTTTCTCATAAGCAGTGACTTCTATTTTGTTTTTTGGGGGGAGAGGTAATTAGAGTTTTTTTTTAATGGAGGTACTAGGGACTGAACCCAGGATCTCATGCATGTTAAACACGCACTCTGCCCCTGAGCTATATACCCCTACTTCCCCATCATAAGCAGTGACTTCTTCTTGGAATAGCCACATAGAAAACAAAACAGTATCTGCAATGTTCTGCCTTTACATTATTATTATTATTATAATAAAATTTTCTTGATATACATTCTTAAATGTACATGTAAAACAGCATGAGACCATTCTTTCCAATTAGAAGGCATCAAAAGAAACATTTTTAATGCTTAAAATTCTTCTGAAATCTACTAATGTTGTGCTTAAACTAATGTTCTTCCAATAAGCTACATATTCATTCACTTACAATTTAAAAGAATGTCATAAAGTAATGGCTTTTCGAATCATTTTCCTGTAATTTTAATTAGCTATGCCTAAACGATCAACTTGAAAATCCAAATCAGGCACTGTGAAAAAATATTAAATCTGAGGCACAGTGATATCTTTGAGTACAGATAACAAGTGACCCAGAAACTCTGATTAGCAATCACTGATATCTCAGAGACCAAAATACTAAGTATGTAATATTGATCTTTACTCTAATTAGATTCCTTTCAAATCTTCCTGTTCAACAAACCCCAAAAACTATTATGCAGTTAGGATCAGAAAAGGAACTATGGTGATTAACTGAAAACCTAAATAATTAAATTGCGCCCTAGGTAGTAAAAATGGTTTATCTTGTATAGTTAACTTGATTTTTTCCATTCAATAAAAGTGAAGTGAGTACCAATCCCAGGTTAGATGCTGGATATGCAACAGTGAAAAAAAGAGGAAGAAAAGTTAGCTCACAGCAAATGTGCGACGACTTGGAGTGCTAGTGTGCAGTGACAAAGCCAGGGGCCAGGGAGAGGGAGACCACAGCAAGAGGATTTCTAGAACCGTGCTGTCCAGGGAGGTAGCCACCAGCCCCATGTGCTGAATTTAAATTAACCTAAAAAAGCCTAAAACTGCAGTCCTGGTCTCAACTAGGCACATTTCAAGTGGCGCACAGCTACAGCCTGAGGCAGCAGAGGTCACAATGGGAGATGCAGACACTTCCCAGCAGGTTCTATTGACAGTGCCAGTGTAGGACACCAATAATTGAGGGGCAGTGGTAGCAGACGATAGATTTAATAGATCCAAACAATGATCTAAATTACCTGTTACTGATATTATCACATGGCAAAGGTTACATGTCACTTTTTTGAGGATCTTGTGTGTGCGAGAGATTGAGCTCTGGGAAGGTTCTGAAGCGGCTGCACCGTTTGCTGGTGGCGTGCTAACCCCTGCCTGGCTGTGCTGCACCCATAAGCCAGGGCACCACCGGTGCAGACATGCCAAGCCCTCCCGTCTAGGGCGCTTCCGCGCACACGCGTTCCTGCTGCTGGTGAGTTGTGAGTCCCACCTAATTCCACAGGCGTTAGTCCTCAGAGCCTTTCACAATCTTGTATGGGAGGTGGGGCGACACAGCCCATTTTAAAGAAGGGAAGACCCAGATAAAACAGCCATTTAAGGTCACAGAGACTAAACAAAAAAGGCAGGTATGACTCTATAGCTGAACTTCCCCAAGTCTAAGGTTCTTTTCAACCATTTCTGTCAGTTTTCATTCCAATATGGACTTCACATACCCAAGCATAAACCCTGTTTATAATATTCAAGTTGATTTCGTCAAGATGATTTTTATATGAGGTCACAGAGAAGTAGCTACAGACTGGATCTGGATCACAAACTTGTCTTAGCTCCTAAAATGTAACTCTGGATTAACTATCAACATTTTAAAAGAAAATTTACATTAAAAGCCCGATGTCAGCCTCCCACACTCCTGTCTGAACAATCACCGCGGCTGAGCAGCAAAGGCCCCTTTAAATGGGCGTATGCAACAGCTCATCAGTGACCCTGCTCACCCCACTGTCCCTCACAGTGACCCTGAGCATCAGCAGTGCCAAGTCTTTTGTTCTGTCCTGTCCATTTCATCCACAAATTGCTTACCTGGTCCTGATAGAAGTTTGAGTTTGTGGTCTTCCATTTTATAGAATTTAATTATTTTATTAAGAAGTTATTAATCAAAGGGGAGACAGGTTCTACATCGATGAAATAAGAACTTTTTGGGGGACAGTATGAAATACGTCCAAGCTATGAAAATACGTCCTTTTCCTTCCCCCATGTCATAGCACCATTCTGTGCTGCTTTCTTACATGATGTGGGGTCAGTAACAGGGACACTATCATTTGAGTACTTAATTTTAGAAGTATTTACCACCATCACCCCCAAAATATTACCCACTCCAATCTAGTGCTTGATTTGGGGACAATGATTTGACATTTAATGAGCACGAACACCATGGTTCTCTATACAAATAATACCCTTACTTCTTCCGCGTACATAAAATTTAGTTTAGAAAAATCATGACATTTTCAACACACAAAAATAAGCACAAAAACATGAATGACCAATAAAGGAAAGTTTCAAATGTGATGCTACTGCCATCATTTAACATAAATATTTAGTTAAGATAAAAGTCATTTTAACATGGCAAGTGACTAGACACAATCCCAGCACATACTTGTAGCCGTCTCTAATGAAAGTGGCTGCAGGGGGCATGGGCAGTTGTTCGATTTTAGGAGGGATTGCCCACGAAGGCCGAAACAGACAGGCATCAGGAATCTTCAGAGGTAGCAGGCATTGGCTCGGCAACATCTTCAGTGGCGCAAACATGGAGGATCCCACGAAAGGTTGAAAAGTTGAAACTTTGTGCACATATGAAAAGTCCTGTGATGACAAAGTGTAATTCAATATATCTCTTGTCTGATCAACAGAAAAATGCTAATGCCAAAATTTTAAACTAATCAAGACGCTGTACCGAACATACCGAGTGGCCCACCTCATGATCTAGTTCAGAGAACTCTCATAAGTTATGTGTATATGGTGTACAGATAAAGATGCATACATCTGCCTGGAAACCACCCTGTCTCTGTATAATTAATATACTGGCAATTACCTTTATCTCCTCTGGCTTGGGACTTCCTAATCCGTCTTCCACTTCCATTTTGAATTCAGTGAGCTGTGCTGAAACCATGCTGACCATAGGGCTCTCCATCATGCCTAATGCTGTCACTGTCTCTGAACTGATTCCGTCTTTATAATTCATCACAGGAGAAAATGCAGGATGCTGTTCCAAAGAAGGAGGGGTGGGGAACATCCTTTGCAGGTCTGCAACTGCTAAAAAAAATAAAAATAAAAATAAAAAATTTCTTTTAACAGGCCCGACTTCTTTAAAAAAAACAAAACGCCAAAACCCCAGTTCATAGCCAGGCACCTGATTTGGCATCAGAAATAAGTTAACTGAATGGTTGGTCGTATCAGTTACATAAAAGAATATTAATAACGGAAGTCTCGAGAAGGCGGCCATCAGCAGAAAATTACTCTTTCTGAAACTTTATCACTATCTTCTTGATGCTTTATAATTTGGCTTCACATTAATTAAGTGAACAAAGTCCACATAAGATACTTTTTTTTTCTTTCAACAACTGATTCCCTGAAAAATCTAAGGAGATGAACTAAGTAGAAGCTGGAAGCAACTTGATGAAATAGTCACTTTATTAAAATAAACTTCTATCCCTGCTTGCAAGTACGTATGAAGTATTTCAGAATTATGTAACAAATGCTACACAGAAAATTTTAACGGAAAACCCATTAGGCATTTTATATCACAGAAAACAAGAATTGTTTATAGAGTCAGAATGCTGGTTTACATGTAGTAGGATTACTCGGCTAGTTTGATAAATCCACTGTACTCACTGCTTTTTTGGGAAACAGTCCCATACTCTTTTCAGATTGATATTAAAATGAAACTTCATTGTTAGGATTAATAATCCTATCCAAAACCAGAAGACAATTTAGTGAAAATCAAGTGAGGAAAAAAGGTATCTTTTAAGAAATACTCAGAATAGTGATTCTCAACCTTTAAAACAAACACTGTTACACACCTGAGGTTAACCATCAACAGGGCTCATGAAGGCACTAATTTTCACAGCAGGAACAGACAGAGTGAAATGCAAGCTGTGACTGTGATCAGGGCACCTGGCCACTAGGAGGTGTCCTGTACAGCAAATTTATTTAAACATTTGGAGCCCAAGTTTAAATCAGTGATTTGGAGTCACATCCCTTGTCTCAATTTCCAACTATATTGCTCTTTCTAGCAACTTCAACATTTAAAAAGGTAAACAGTAACCACTAAATGGACTAAGATACGATTTCCAGCTCTGAATCAGAACTCAACAGAGCGCAAGTGCGTCCTGCTCTGACCAGGTCAGAGTAAGGCAAGGCCAAAAGGCAGCAGCAGCGGCCTGGGCTCACAGCCCGGCGCTCCCAGCACAGCGCCGCGGTGGGCAGGCCACTTCCTCCCTCAGGGCCTCAGTTCCTTCATCTAAAACGGAAGCCTTGACCAGGACGTGTGATTCCCAACAGGCTCTCTTTCTTTCCTTTGTTTACAGGGGGGAGGGGAGAGCCTCTACCATACAGAGGCAGAGAGGTGAGAACCTCTTGGATTAGATGATTTTTTACCTTATATCCTAGTTAAACAATTACATAATCCAGAATACATTTCCCTCTCTTGGCCTCAGGTGTTTATCTGTAAAACAAGGGGAGGACAAGGCCAACAGACAGGGTTTCAGATCTAAACTTTCACTTCCATTAGAGAAGCTCCGCTTCTATTTATTTCCTATAATTGGATTCTGTGTAAGATGTCGTTAGTAAAAATGGTACCTGCTACTGCTAAGAAAAAGAAAAAAAAAAAAGAAAAAGAAAACCTAAACCCCCAAGTTAATCTTCAAGGCACCTTGCTGTGACAGTATTTTACCATTAAGGAGCATAGAACGAGGGATACAAGCCAAGCCAGAAACTACCACAGAACTACTGGACATACTACGTAACTGATAAGTCCTGAGGCTGAAAAATAGGTCTTCAGATGTAGCAGCAACTAGATCAATAAGTTTTCTTCAAAACAAGCTTAAAGACTTCAATATAGTTAGGTTACACTTGAAATACACTCATCACCTTTAACTTTTATAGTCCCTGTTCCTTTTTCCAAGCCAAAGAGCAGCTACTGGTTAATTTTAATATAAAATTAATTTTAAGTGGAGCATTTTAAACTGTAAGTCTGCTTCATAGAATCGGCAAACTCATATCACACTATAGATCTTAACTAACAAAGTAGATATCCGGAAAATAATGAAACTATATAAATTCACTTTGAATTAACATGATAGTGAACTTAGACTAGCTTTTCCTTCACTTAAGTATTCTGGCTCTGGTACAAAACTTTGCCCTAAAATTAGTTTATTAAGTTAGTCTTTAAATTTTCTCTAAGAAATGAAATAAAGTGATTTTTCCACTTAGGGATACTCAACTTTTTTGATGCTACGTAACAGTGTTACATTATCTGAGGTTTCAAAGCTTCAGCCACCTTGATCATTTTTATCAAAGGTAAAAGATAACACACAAAAAAGTATGGATAAAATGAGATTCCACCTGCCAGAGATTCACATTAAAAAGTGGCCTTCACCATTCTATTATCAGGTATTCTTCAGGAATTAACCTCTCTAGCTTTAATTCCTTCATCTGCAAAATGGGAATAATACCTACCTCACATTGTTTTGGTGCATGTTAAATGAGACAATGTATGCACAGAAGTGAACACTTTGCCAAGTACACCTAAACACTCAGAAACTGATGAGAGTCAGCAGTAACCGGGCCTCCCTCCCAATGCTAGTTAGATTAGAAAAAGATGGAAATGCTATTAAGTCACAGGGAATTTCTGAAAAGAGAGGACCCTAAGAAATTGTGAGGAAAAAAACCTGGGAACTGGACTCAAAGTGGGCAAGGCAGAAAGAAAACAGAAACCCACAGAAACATTCCAGTCCTCCAGAAAGTAGACTGTCCCACTTACTCGCACCCTGCCTATTCTCAGGACTCACTACACCTGCGCAGGAACTCACCATTAAGGACACTGTTTCCCACCCTGTACTTCAAGTATTTATGCACAACGCTTCCAGCAGAAGCATCATCACTTTCTTAGTCAACTTCTCGGTTTTCTTCCCACCCCAGAGCACCTAGCAAAGTCCCTGACAAACGGTATGTTTTCTTGTAGAATAAAATGAAGCCAACTCAAAAGTCCAACTTGTTCATTTTGCCTCCTCAAAGACTCATACTTCAACTGAACATGCTTTCAAAGACAAAAATTCATAATCAGCTGATTAATAATAAAACCTAAGAGAAACGCTTTTGTTTTTATTAATATAACACAATATGCCCTTAACACAGTCTTAATGCTGAATTAAACCTCACTGTTATTGTGTGTTGCGGTCTCCATTATTACATTCACAAATGAGTAATTACAGACCTGTGCCATCCAACACAGCATCCCCTAGCCATATGTGGCTGTGGAGCATTCAAAACGGGGCTCGTACAACCTGAGGCGTGCTGCGTGTATACAATATACCCTACACTCCAAAGAGTTGGTATGAAAAAGGAATGTAAAGTATCTCAATATTTTTATGCTGCCTACATATAAAAATGACAATGTTTTGGATACACTGGGTTAACTAAAATATATTCTTATAATTAATTTCACATGGTTCTTTTTACTTTTTTAAACTGTTAGAAAACTTAAAATTACTTATGTGGCTCTCAGTGGTGGCTCACCTTGCACCCCCGCTGGATGGTGCTACTCCAGACATGGAATGTTTATGTCTGTCAGTCCACTTCAGCATACACTAAGCTACTGCAGAGATGAGAGCTTCCTGCCATGCTATTTTCATTGTCATGTCTTGGGAGGAAATATTACGTATATGTCCCCATACACACATTTATACACACATACTTAGACACGTTAAAAAGATCCTCTTGAATCTTGTGTATCTGTATTTTCCTCATGCTAATGTTTTTGCTGTATTTCGGATTCATTAATTCATATAACCTGTACTTTATAACAAAATTTTGAGTAGCTTCTTTTTGAAAAAATTCCTTTCTGAATAAAATGAGAGAAAGAAGAGAGCACACCATATACTTTACTAGGCAATGACATTAACTAGCAGGATGGCTTCTGAGTGAATAATCTTGGACAAGTTATCAGGACATTCTAACACTTAACATCACTATGTATCACTTAATGTCAAAAAAAAAAAAAAGCAGGAGTAACTGGTTCAATACAAGGGGAAAATTCATTCATCTGACCTATTCCAAATGACTCTACTTTAATAATGTTTCTTTTAATCTGTGAGTTTCATGTTTGTAAAATTCTGCAGTGCAGAGTAATAAAAAAAGAAAAATGTTTAATTAAAAAAACCACAGCAACTGGCTGGCTATCATTATTCATTTTCATACATGTCATGCTTGAGAAAGCTTTGCATATTTTAAAAAGCTATGGATCCACTAAAGCTGTCAAAATCCAATCTCTGTATACTTCACACTTCTACATTTGAGTAAATCAGTACTACATTTATAGGTTCATAAAACTTTTTGACTCATCCCTATGACATGGTGGTTTTCCCCCTCAATTTGTTCTCATTACCAGCTGAAGTTAATGAGAAGGTATTAAAGAATGATTTGCAATGGAATTATGTTTCTGCTTCAGAGTATCCATATAAGCTACTCTGACTTTCTTTTCTCTTGTAGAATAATGTTTCTTAGGGTAAAGAATAACTAGAAAAAAGGAAGTTTCTCCTCTTGTCTGCATACATAGTAAAAACTTGTTGCTTTTTTAAGGAAACATAAAAACTTCAGAATGAATTGGAAAAAGGACCACAGAAAACAAATATTCATTATCCTGTGTGAATTAAATTTATGAAAATTGAAACATTTTACACAAGCTCTTAACAGCTTTAATATCGCTCTGAAAAACCCCCGTGCAGCATGTATCCTACTAGGAAAGGGCTATTTGAAAAAAAACCTAAAGCATGTTTTTCCATACTTTAAACCGTAAAAGTTAATTCTTATTTTGAAAAGGAATTCAAATTTAAATGGTCTCTTAGCTGCCTGCCACCTTAGGAACACTAATTTATACAAGTTTTAATTAATTCATAGTCAGTATTCTGTTAAAAAGATAAAAAAAAAAAAAAGAGGGGAATCTCAGTTAAGGCACCACTGAGTATGAGAACATTATATATTAGCTGTAAGTACTGAGCCGAAGCTCAATCTCCCTTTCTTACTTGGTGGGTAAGGAACAGCAGCTCTTCCATCCTTCCCAAGAGGTCGGTCTTCTGTCCCAACCGTAGGCATTTTTGACGAGCGCAGTGCAGGCGACACAGCCTAAGAACAGATTATTATTATTAACACAGAAGAACGCATTTGCATGCAAGTAGGGCAGCAGGCAAGTATGTCTTAGAGTGCATGCCTATTGGTATTTTAAAATAAAGATGCTTCCTCAGTGTTCGCCAGGTGAACTTCTAGAAATACCAGCAGACAGTGACATCAAAGAGACAGTTACAACCTTATCAAGTATGAGAAACTGAGTGACTGAGTCTTTTCAGGGATCTGGTGAGGGCAGACTGTGCCATCAAAGCAGAGCTGACAGATCCTCCTTCCTTCCCAGGTCATTAGAGAAGCAGTTTTAGGGACACAATAATTACATTAGGGTGGTGCTTCCAAGTAATAATTGGCTATCAGTCTGGTTTTCCTTCTGTTTGGAAGCAGGCAGCTAAAAGAGATGACCTCAAGTCCTCTCAAGCTAAATATTCTTTTATTTCTCACCACATATATATATGTACATATATATGTATCTGCTACTTTTATTTCTAAAGTTACTGTTTATCTGCATAAAAAAAACCAAAACCTTGTCTCACACAGGAAAGCTTTTTTCTTTGACTTATTATTCAAAACACATTAAGACTCTTAATAGGCAAGATTATCTTTAAGAGCGCAAATGAACTGGTGGCAAAACAAAATAAAGCAGAAAAAAAAAAGATTCTCAGAAATAGAAAGCCCTTTATTTATGCATAATTATTCAATGTCATAGATTTGAAATGTAAAATTAAATTTAAAGACCTGTGAGATGAACACTTGGACAACAGCCTCCCCATGCCAGTCACTAATAAGATGAATTAGCAAAATGACCCTACGGTAAACTGCTCCTTTGATTAAATGTCAGACTAGAAATCAGAATAAAGTAGAAACAATCATTTCAGAGAAATGAAAATTAGATTAAAAATGTCCAATTCTCTCTGGCACAGTAACATTACTAAGAACATATTCAAAAAAAAAAAAAAGTAAACATTTCTTCACTTAGTCCACCACAGCTCACACAGAGAGCAAGCAGAATCACTCAGAGGCTAGACAACAACCACTAGGGATGACAGCTGTGAACCGTAATTTGCTTTTTCCTTTTCTCACACCTCTACTTCTTTCTGACTCCTTTACCGTCTTCCGACCATCACCAAAGCATCTAAACTACCCTCAGGACCATTAAAACCAATCCTCGGTGATGCATGGCTTTCTGGAGACAGTCAAGTTCAAGAAGGATC